ATGCACTGCTTCTGCCCAGAGAAAATATGGCATCCTCTTCTCATGCAACATGGATTTAGCCATCTCAATCACAATTTTTTTCTTCCTCTCCACTACTCCATTTTGTTGTGGAGTATATGCAAGAGTGAGTTGTCTTTGTATTCCTTCCTTTTCACAGAATAGATCGAATTCAGATGACTTGAACTCCCCACCTCTATCACTTCTCAGACACTTAATCTTGAATCCACTTTGTAACTCTGTCATAGCTTTGAATTTTTTAAAACAGTTGAATGCATCAGACTTATATCTTGGGAAATAAACCCAAGTCATTCTGGTGAGATCATCTATCAACAACATGAAATATTTATTTCCAACAATTGAATCATTCTTCATGGGTCCATACAAGTCAACATGAGTTAGTTCAAGTGGAGCAGTGGCTCTTTGTGCTTGATTTCTTGGAAATTCTTCTCTGTGTTGTTTTCCAAATTGGCAACCTTCACAAACTCCATTGTAGTCTTCCAGCTGAGGCAACACATGCACCATTTCCTTGTCTCTCAATTGTTTGAGACCACCAAAGTGTAAGTGCCCAAGTCTCCTGTGCCAAGTCTCAGTAGAGTGAGTGACACTAGCTTTTAAAACCACTTGGTTCTCAGATAGTAAAGCCAATGGATAGCATCTATTCACTTTCTTCTTCACTTTCATAACTAGGCATTCCAGTGATGGACCATCGTACACACTGCACATTCCACCACCAAACACCAAGAAATACCAATGCTCATCCATTTGACCTACATTTAGCAAGTTTTCTTTTAAACCAGGCAGGTACATAACTTCTCTAACATACTTTCTGCCCTTATTTGTATCAATCACCAATGAGCCCATTCCTGCTACACTAACAAGATCTCTAGTTGGCATTTGAACTTTGCCAGCTATGTTGGTTCTTACATCAACAAGTAATTCTACATTTCCTATCATGTGATTGCTACAATTGCTATCAATGTACCACTCTCCAGTCACCCTTGGTTCTGTAACTGTGCTATTTGCATAAAATAGGTTCCCTGTCATCTCCACTTGATTAGCACTGTTTGCCTTTTGCACTGTTTTAGTTGCAGTACATTCTCTAGCCAAGTGACCAAATCTGTCACAATTGTAGCACTTTGGCTTGCCCTTATATCTGCATTCTCCAAAATGATACTTTGAGCACACTTTGCACTGAGGCTTTACAACTTCTTGATTTGTTGGCTGTGATGAACTGAAGCTGTGATTTGGTGCAGGATAATTCTGTTGGGACTTTCCTTTTGACTCCCATGGTTTCCCTTTCGGATTCCAATTCTTTTGAGACTTCTGACCACTTGATTGAGAGTTACCCCTGTTTTGTTGTCCTTTTGAGCTCAAAGAGAAGGAAGCAAATGCCTTATCAGTAGCGTCAACAGTGTGCATATCAAAACGTTGAATTGGCTTTTAAGAATAGCTAGGATCTCCTGTAATTCCACCGTTGCTATATTTTTCGTATTCTCAATCACAAGACAAATAGGATCATATGGTTTACTAAGGCTAATCAGAAATTTCTGCACAAGTCTTTCATTAGACAGAATTTCACCAAATGTTTTCATCTGATTAATCAACTCATTTAGCCTAGTAAGATACACAGACAAAGTTTCATCATCATGCATTCTAACATATTCGAATTCACGTCTCAGATTTTGCAATTTCACTTATCGTACATGATCACCACCGTGATACTCTCCATACAACAAATCCCATGCCATCTTCGCTGATTCAGCATTGACGATTCGAGGGAAGATTTGATCCGAGACTGCATTCTGAATGATTCCCAGCGCCTTTGCATCTTGCATCAACACAGCGGCCATTTTTTCCTCTGCATCATCCTCCGATGATCCTTCAGCCTTCTTCTTCTTCGAATAAGAAGTTTTAACTCCCTTCTCTACCAGATTCCACAACCCATGTGATTTGAAAATCGTCATCATCTTGATTCTCCAGAACTCGTAGTTCTCACTAGAGAAAATTGGAGTTCTCACTTCCGAGCCTCCAAATCCAGACATCTTTGGTCTGAATGGGTTGATTTCTCTTCTCATATGATAATGGGTCTTTGGCGACTTTCACCGAGCTTCAATCTCAGCTTAATGAGTTCACAGATTTACGCCCAGGCTCAAATGATCGAACCTGGCTCTAAGGCCATGTTAGTGTTTTCAGTGTGTGGGTGAAGAAATCAATGAAGAATGAAGGAGGAAAAACAAAGAGAATTGGAAACTTGCTTTGCTATATGTGTAGCACAGAAAAGGTATGTTTATATTTTGTTGTATATTTTTTTCTTCTTACAATCCTCACGCACTTGGTGTGAGGCAGTATATCCATTAGATACAGTGAGCTGGATCCCTTACAACACAAGGTGATCTCAGCCATTCAACTAGTCAACCAATGAGAGCCTTACACTTGGCCTATAAAACTTTAAAAGAAAGAAACTGAATGTTGAATATGCTAATACTTAAGTCAACTTAAGGCTCATAATTCAACACTCATATAGGGGTTTTGTTTTGGCAGCCGAATACACGACTCCCCAGCCCGCGTCGCAACCGCTGGAAAGAAGGGATTGCCCGAGTTTTTTGTTTGTTTTTTTTCTACTTCACTAGCTGCTAGAAGGGCGTTCCGTGAGGGAGAGCTACTGGTGAATATTGCTCCCTTCTTTTCCTCTAATTTTTTTTTTTATCATCGTGTATATATATGTATATAGAAAATATATTTTGATATTTTGGGCATCTTGGCGTTGGTGAAAAACACTGAGATTTGCATATTGCATTTTCCCATTGCTGTAGGCCTCTGAATCTTTGGAATATGGAGAGTGAAGGCACCGGAACCTTGTGTTGTATTTCTTGCTGCTAGAAGCTTTGAGCATACCCAACTCCATAATTTGGGTGTTTGAGCTTTTGCTTTAGCCTTAGTAAGCAATTCTTCTTGATTGCTGGGGTCGTGGATTCTTCTTTGATTTTGTAGGAATAGATACGGACTGGTCTTTTGGCCTAGGCTTGTTTTTGTAGACGCTTGCTTGACTCTCGGGCTCCTCCTTTTTCTTTTTTTTTCTTTTTTTCTCTCTAAGAAAAAGGCTACTAGGGAATAGAGAGAACGCTTGGGTTGTAATGCTTGATATATATATATCATTTTGGTGTTGTTGGCAGGATTGGTCAAACCTGAGCAATTTTTCTTTGCTTGTTGGCAGGATTGCCACACAGCAAGGAAGACACCACAATGCTTACTAACTTGCGGGTAGTGGTACTAACGATGGTGTTGGCTTGGTGGTCTTGCGGTGGATGAGGGGAATTCTATATCTACTACCAAGTACAACTTTTTTACATTTTGCCGAAAGGACTCTTAATTTATTTATTGGCCTCCGGTCTACTTAAATGGATATGGTTATATTAGAATTTAGAAGTTATTATGTGATTTGCTATGGAAATTTCTTATTCTTATTTTTAACACAACTTCTTATTATGCTTCTTTTGGATATTTGAAACTAGACTGAATGGATTAGAAGAGTCTATAAGACCATCTCCAACCTAATGGATGGAAACCTAAATTATAGGTTTTGAGTCCAAAAAACTTCTCCAACCCATATATTTTGGGAGGTGGAAATTTGAGAAATCTCAAATCTTGGGTGGAATTCCACCCCAAATATTGCCTGGACTTATAATTTTTGTGGGCCCAAAAGCAAGCCTCAAAACAGCCCACGTGCTGGTGCAAATTGAGTGGGGCCCGTTTGCAGGAGAAGTCTGCCTCTTCCTTTAAATGTTGGCTGCATGTTGTGTTTAATTCAAATACCCGTTGAGATCCAACGGCTACATTTAATATGCTTTTGTAATTTGTTTTTTTTTTTAAATGTAAGCTTAATCTAATGGCCCAGATTGTCCAAGACTGATTTTAACAAAAAAAATATATATCCAATGACCAAATTAAATCCAATAGTCAAAATTATATTATTTATTAATCTACATGAGATTCAACTTTGAAAATCATTCCAAATTCTATAAATACCTACCCATTTATTAAATAATCCACTAAAATCAAATTTTAAGTGAAATTATAATTTTTTTAGGTTAAGATGTTCAGAAAAATAAATTATGAAGCTATAAACAAAAATTAACCACAATAGAAAAATAGAGTTCAACTATTCTTAAACAATTTAATAAAGGTATGGACTCAAATTTTGAGTCTGCAAGGTTGGAGGAAAAAACATTTTGAGTTTGGGCAATACATGAATAGTTGTATTTTAGAGGGTGGAAATTTGAGTTTAGCCCCAACATGGTTGGAGATGGCCTAAGAGATACGTTGCTCCTTCGTGGCCAAAAGTTGGAAATTTCAAAGTTTTTGGGTTCGGGCCGAGCTTTACAGGTTTTTTTTTTGTTTTTTTTAATTTTATTTTTTTATAAATAAAAATTTTGGGCTGAGCTGAGGTTTCAAAGGGCTTTGCTTGGGCTCGACCATCAAGCTGGGGCATTCCACCATGGGCCTAATCGACCGGGTTTTTTTTAATTTTTTTTTCAAAGTCTTTTAAATATTTTTGTTACACTTTTTTTTTGGGGTCAAAAGTGATGGATAAAGAGTATTCTCTTAAACAATAGTATAGATTACTATATAACTTAAGAAAAAAAATATATAACAACCAAACTCTTTGACTAAACCTAGACCAATGGCCCATATATTTAAAAAAATATTATACCTAAAAATGAATCTTACGCAAATATGTTACTTCTATACCAAACTAGGATTAGCATCATAAAAATTAAAGCAATTTGTGCTATTAGAATAAATAAAACCAAAATAAGCCTTCAAATTATTTATTGAACCATTAAATTTGAACTTGAAAAAAAAGGCACACAAAAAGATAGAGTGTATATATTGCTTGTTTGCTACAAAATTTTAGACAACATAAAAAACTAACTTATGGTTGAACAAAAATAATAAGAAGAAAGAGCACAGTTATGTCTCAATTTGAGTTTGTTCAATCACAACATTAAATGCCAACAAAATCTCTAGGTAATTTAAGCACTACATTCTACAGGCATACAAATTCAATAGTTGAAGGCACTTTTTCTCGAAGGCATTGCATAGCATGGTCTCTTGCTTTCGCTTCTTCGACCTTTTCAACTTCCCTAACTCTTACAAAAGATTCATTCAAAGGCTGGACAGGATGGATAATAATTTTCTCCAGTGCAACAGCACTCTTTATTAGGTGCATGACATGTTGAACAACACATGTCTGAGCACGATACCCTACAATTTCTAATACCTTCAGGTAATGATGGGGGCATTCGCCTGCGCTCTTTATTGGTCCCATTCCTGCAAGTGTTGTAAAATTCAACTGCACCAAGAAAACATGCAAATTCAACACTACGCTACATGAACTACAAGGACCATTTAAGTCTATTAGCATGTTTTGTCAACTGTGCAGCAAAAGTTGACATTTTTGTTTTCTTTCTTATAAATTGGTAATGGAATGACTAGAGGATTAACAAATCACCTAAAGTGCACACAAATATGCCCAAGTTTTACCCAAGTTTTAACAAATCACCTAAATTCTCAACAAAACAAAAAAGCCCAAGTTTTACCATGTAATCTACCAGGATATGAGTAATACCTTCAACACAAGTCTCTGCACGAGAGGAGATGCCTTCATGAAAGAAGTTAAATGAAAAAGATCCATATCATAATTTGCCTTCACTGTTAATTCCAAATGCTTGACATTTGCTAATACGGGAAATACATAATCCTGATTGTAGACCTGAAACCCGAACAAGTTGTAAGGAACTACATAATCCAAAAGAAAAAAAAACCAACACGTCATAATTACATATACTAACCGCTAAATCAATATCCAGCATGAATATCTCCAGCTGAGAAAGACAGCAAGAGAGTTGGGTGAAGGGAAGCTCTATGGATTTGCGGTAAACGTGTACCTCATCCGAAATAATATGAACAAGCCTCTCAGAAACGGACACCTCAACAAGGAATGGTACATTATTGAGGAGAAGGTTGGTTGCTGTTCCCTCATAAATAAATGAAACAAGTTTTACGTCACGAATCTCGATGCTTTCAAGTTTACACCATTTTATAGTTAAATACTTTAATGCAATTGAGGGACCGACAACTCCTAATTTAACCAAACTTTTGGTAGCAAATGACACTGTCAAACGTTCAAGAACTGGACAGTTATACAAGAAGTGCTCAAGAACTTCTCCAGTCACATCAACAAATTGGAGATGAAGAACTTTGAGGAACTCAAATCCAATATTGTATTGGCAAGAGTGCAGACTTGGATAGGCAGACTCTTTCCCAAAACCTAATAGTGTGTGGGGGAATGAATAAGCACCGCTACGAGTAGAGAAATCACATAGATGTAATTCTAACTCGAGTATTTGAACTCTCTTATTCATTGCAAATTGAATCCATTTGTCAATGGAACTTGTAAAATGACTATCTATATCAAAGGAAACCCTGAATCGTTCGATGGATGGGCCTCTATGCTGTTCCACTACATGATTTACCCAATTGACGTATCTGAGGCTTTCCTGTTCTCTTAGTGCTGGTTGGAGTTGACGGAACTTTTTATAAACTTCATCATCAAAAAATTTAGCATCAAAGTCGAGAGCCATAGTAGATGCCCACACATATCGCCATCGCCTGGAAAGGATACTAGTAGTAGCTGCTTCCTTTAGGGACAAGAGAGACAATATACTAACAAGAACGTCATCTGGCGACTCAGTGAGTCGGTCCACCAAGTTGTACTCGTCCTTATGTTTCCTTTTCTTTCCCAAGTTGTTTTTTCTTTGCCTGTGTTTCATTCCCATGTAGAGCGCGTACTTCTAATACATGAATTGGCCTCAAAAACAAAACACGAAAGGAATGAGAACTTGCAGTGTTATCATATTCGTTACAGGGTACAACTTCCAAACCAATTGGATATGCGGGAAAAATATGCAAACTGTGGAACTTTTAACCGTAAACACGAGTGAAGTATCTTGAATATTTTATTTTTGTCGTTTGAAATAAGTGTGCAAATTTGTACATAGTTAATATGTGGGAAATAGAAGAGATGCAGCTTTCAAAACCAGTTAAATCATATCTGGGAATATTCTATAATTAAAAAAAATTATAAAAGTTTGACATCTGGGAAAACAGATACAACTTCCAAACCAATTGGATATGCGGTAAAAAGACATATTTAGTTCAGTACAATAATCCTATTAACCGTCTTTTCCGTTAGATAGTCAATATAAAACGAATCAAAGAGTCTTTTTAGTACAGAAAGCGAGTCTTCTTATTTTTTTTAAGAGAATTCCTGCTAATGAGAGCGGATTCTATTGCATCCACCCTTTTTCCATTCCGAATTTTGTCATTCTTTCCTCCTAAGTAAGCTAAGCTATATGTCTCCTTGCCGAAGTCCTTGATATCACATCTCTCTCCATTGCCCTATCCCGCAGTCTGTCTTATATAAAATGGAAATGTGGGGTAGGTTCTCATTCCACCTCACGAGGTCTCAGCCTGTAGTACAATCTGTTCTTTTTAGAGTCCTAGTTCCGCTCTATCGAGAAAGAAGTCTAAACTGAGACTATATGCTTAACACATGCGGATCAGGGGGCTTGTTACAAAACTTCAGCTTGCCCGGAACGCAAGGATTGAGACCACATTCTTAGGATTGACAGGCTCCCTTTTATCCTCTTTCTGCTTTAGTTAGACTTTGATTCATGGTTTAGGAATGGGGCCAGTGCAAAGCGGAAGATGAATTCATTGATGGAATGCCAAGGTAAAATCGTGAAAGCAAAGTGGGTCTGAAGTCTACGCAACTTGTGTTGACCCATAGGAGCTCCACCATTTCATGCACACTTCTCTTCGGCTAACCAAGGCGCGGAAGGAAGTACTCTAGACCACGATTTGGAACTTTTAACTGTAAACACGCTGAATCAAAAAATAAAAAAAACTGTAAACACGGGTGAAGTACCTTGAATTGGAGAGATGGAAAAGTTGGGGGAACTCTTTTCATCTTTTCTTCGTGAAATTCGTCTGGGAGTTCCCTCTTACTAATCTTGATGTAGATATCACCGCGGCTAGGGTACTGATGGAGTGGCAGCGACGATGACTTAAAAGATTATATTTTTATTTTATTTTGAAAGAGGTAAGATGGAGAATCAGATATAGGTATTGGATTTCCGACCAAAATCGGGAATTATATTTGGGGTCGGTTTTGGGGATTAATGTTAGGACTACGAGCATATTTTCTGGGCCAAGCCCAATAAACCCAGTAGGCCCAAGTAACTACTTAATTGACCAACCCAATTATGAAACTAGTAAACTTGAAAGCCCAACGCGTATCCACTTACAGATGGCAAAGCCGGCTTCATGCATGCAGAAACAGAGAAGCAGGTAACTAACTGGTTCTGGGAGGAGAATGATCTGAGAACCCAAAAACCAAATTCTGAAAGCCATTGGAAGCACAAACGTTGAGGTACCAAATACCAACCGATCCTCTAGCATTAATTTTCTTGATCTTTCTTTAGCTGTTAAACAATTTCATGGTTTTTTTTGTTGAGAATTGTATTTTTGAGTATAGTATAATTGCTTATTGAGCCATAAATTAATCAGACAAATCAATCGATTGTGATTTAAGGGGATATTGCAAATTTCTTTTGTGCCTCTAGTCAGTGTACATATGGCACATCCACAACCCCAAGAACAAGAGGTCAAGAGTCCTAAAATCTCCGCCTACGACGCCTACTTCGAAACAGTCCAGTCCAGGAAGAAATTACCAGGTCCCCTACAAGAGAATTTGACATTTGCATTTTCAAAAGTTCCGGTTTCAGCTTTCCAAGGAGTTCCTGGAGGCAAAGGTAAATAACAATAATACCAATAATTAGCTGCTTCAAATTAAACATTGCCCTCTAAAAGTCTCTAAAATTTTCATGATTTGCAGTGATTGAGATTGGTGCAGATACATGTATTGCTGATGCAGTGAAGGTTCTGTCCCAACACCACATTTTGTCAGCTCCTGTGAGGAACCCAGAAGCGGAGGCAAATGCAGATTGGAGTGACAAGTACCTTGGGATCGTAGATTACTCAGCCATTCTTCTTTGGGTGCTGGAGACTTGTGAACTTTCTCCATCAGTTTGTTCAGCAACTGCTGCTGGAATTGGTGGTGCAGGAGCTATGGGCGCCATTGGAGCTGTTGCATTGGGTGTCACTGGTCCTGCTGCAGTTGCAGGCCTCACTGCTGCTGCAGTTTGTTCTGCTGTGGCTGGTACTGCCCTCGGCACAATAGGTGAAAACATTGCTACATTTTGAAAACAGTAGAAGATTAAAAAAAAAGGATGTTCGTGCACCTCCTCTAAGTGCTACATATAAAGTGAAGACTAAGTGTCACTAGAAAAAATGGTTACTCGTTTATAATTTTACGCAATCGAATAGTTAATCTTTTCTCTCCTCACGGAGAGAATGCATTATAAATTGGATCCACAACAAGCAGTTTGTGGATTCTATTTCTGTTTTGGCTCATCAAAGATAACCAAAAAAGTCATTGGGGAAAACCATATTTTCTAACAGGTGCGGCTGCAGAGAAAGGGGAGGGCAAAGATTCTCCCACAGGTGCCGATAATTTGACCGAAGATTTCGACAGCATTATACTACAAGATGAACACTTCAAGTCAACCACAGTAAGTTTATCTCTACCAAGAAGAATCACTTGAATGAACCATACATGAAATTTACTTGAATGTTTCAGGTGAGGTCAATACTTAAATTGTTCCGATGGGCGCCATTCCTTCCAGTTGGGACAGACAGTTCTATGTTGAGTGTCATGCTGCTACTCTCAAAATACAGAATGAGAAATGTACCTGTAATAGAACCAGGCCAACCCAACATCAAGAACTTCATTACTCAATCAGCAGTTGTTCATGGTCTTGAGGGGTGCAAAGGAATGGAATGGTTTGACTGCATTGCTGCAAAGCCCATCTCTGATTTGGGGCTTCCTTTTATGGTCTCTAATGAGGTAAGGTTGCCTAGGCAGGCCTCTGGTTACTTACTTTGGAATTTGGAGTTTGAATGTTAATAATGTTCCTCTGTTCTCTTGGGCAGGTTATTAGTGCAAATATCAATGATCCAATACTAGAAGCTTTCATGAAAATGAGAGAGAACGAAGTTGGTGGTCTTCCAGTTGTGGAGGGGACAAAGAAGAAGATAGTTGGTAATGTCAGCATAAGCGATATCAGATACTCTTTGCTCAAACCAGAGCTCTTCTCCAATTTCAGGTATTAAAAGGCAAGCTTTGGACCATTTTCACCTACCCTTTTCACAAGTTACATTCTTCTTTTTATTTTATTTTTATACAACCGATATTGGGGGATGGAGGAAATCGAACCTAGGACCTCAGATGCAGGTTTCACAAGTTACATTATTCACAATGAATTTGAAGCACTAATCTGCATAAACTGATTTCTGTCAAAGAAATAACAAAGCAATCCCTATCTCTCTTTCAGGAATCTGAGTGTTAAGGACGTCATGAGCGCCATATCAAAAAACCAGGGGAAAGCGATGTCACCAATTACATGCAATCACCAGTCAAGTCTTGGTTATGTGATTGAAACCCTAGCTTCCAAGTCTGTGCATAGGATCTATGTGGTGGATGGGGAGGAAAGCCAAGTTGTTGGTGTCATTACACTCAGAGATGTGATTTCTTGCTTCATTTCTGAGCCCCCCAACCACTTTGATGCCTACCTGGGCTTTGCCGTGAAGCAGATAATGAAGCATTGAGACATCAGTTTTTTAAAAACTCATATGCAGATGCAGATATAGTTTTTTTTTTTTTTTTAAAAAAAAAAAGGTTACAATTGACTATTGAGTAGCAAAATTTACTCTTCTCAAACTAAAGCCTGGGAGGTTGGCAGCTCTCTTGATAATTTTTATATTGTAAAAACTAATACAGGTTGCTTGTAGAATTTTATAGAATGATAGAACTGAGCTTAATTTGAAACCATTTCAAGTAAGATATTCCAACATTAATAAAACATGTCAAAAATTAAACACCAACTTCTCACTAAATAAGACGTAATGCGTGTAACCTGTTTATTAAGTAAGTTAATTTAGGCCATATTGTTCTTAATCCGGTAATCCACAGATTATACGAATTTTGTAATTGTAACGACGGAATCTGATCCCTAAATAAATAGAAAAGACAAAGTTTTCACAAAAAACAGAGCAAATGTAGGGAGCTTAGTGCAGATAGATAGTAGTTTCTTGTGTATCTGCATAAGCGATTCACGATTCCTGGGCCAGGCCAGGCCCAACTTAACGATTTAGTAACCAACTCAGTCCCATGACAAGTGGTGAGTTGAAGACCCGACACGTGTTGGGTTCCTCCACATGGCAAAGGCAGGCTTCATGCATTCAGCAGCAGAAGCCAAGGTAACTGTTTCGGAGAAGAGAAGCATCAAAGTTTCCACAGAACAGAAACCAATACCAGTTTCTGAATCCATTGGAAGAAGCACGACATATTTGGTGGAGGTATCCAATATAAACCAATCCTTGAGAGTTTTATTTTGTTTCGTTTTTGTCTTCTCTGCTAACTACAATAAATTTGGATTATTTTATTTATATATGCAACTCATAGGATGCAAGTGAACTCTGCAATGGTTTCTTGATCAAAATTTTATTTATTTAGTTGTTTATTAAGATCTCTTATGTTTTTGTTTTTGTTTTGTTTTTTTAAACTGAAAGATCTCTTATGTTAATCAGCATAATCTGAGGCCGAATTAACCATAAATGATCAAAATTTAGAAGCTGAAAAACCATTTGGTTGGAACCCTGAAATTTGTTTTCTTGAGCATATTGATCTCACCCCAGAAGGGCGAGCCATAAATCGTACAAATCAAACGAATTATGGTTTTTGAAAGGGAATTAGCATTCTACGTACATTGATTCTTCGACTTCATATGAATGAAGCCATTGAATAGTTTCCAATTTCTGCCTCTAGCGCATATATGGCACAACCACAAGCACAAGAAGAGATCAAGGAAAGATGTAAGATTTCAAGCTACGATGCCTACTTCGAGACCATCCAGTCCAGGAAAAAACTGCCTCGTTCCCTGCAAGAGGTTTTAACATCTGCATTTGCAAAAATTCCTGTTTCATCTTTCCCGGGAGTACCTGGAGGCAAAGGTAACAATTCATCACTGTCTCTCATTTATGTGGACAACATAGGAATTGAATGAGATAACTAAAACAGTGCCCTATTACATTATTATCTGTAGTAATTGAGATTGGAGCAGATGCATCTGTCAGTGATGCCGTTAAGATTCTTTCCGAACACAACATTTTGTCAGCTCCTGTGACAAACCCAGAAGCAGAAATAAGTTCAGATTGGAGGGAGAGGTACCTAGGACTCATAGATTACTCTGCCATTATTCTTTGGGTGTTGGAGAGTGCAGAACTAGCTGCAGTTGCTCTGTCAGCGACTTCGGCAACAGCTGCTGGAGTTGGTGCAGGGGCAGTGGGCGCTGTGGGGGCACTAGCATTGGGTGTGACTGGTCCTGCTGCAGTCGCAGGTTTAACTGCTGCTGCAGTTGGGGCTGCTGTTGCTGGTGGTGCAGCTGCGGACAAAGGAATGGGCAAAGATGCTCCCACGGCTGCTGATGAATTGGGCAAAGACTTTTACAAAGTTATACTGCAAGATGAACCATTCAAGTCAACCACAGTAAGCTTATCTCTACCATGAAGATTCTATGTAGAGTATTGGTTGCCTTTTGAACACAGAGAGCTATATCTGTCAATTCTGAATCACTTGGTTCCACCTCTTCAAAAAATAAATTGATGAGCATATTGCTGCATCTATATTGCAGAGTACCCTGTTTGTGATTTGGAAGCAACTGCATTAATAGGGACTGTTGCTCTTGTACTCATTTAAGTTATCTGACCGAATGACCATATGCGATATGTACTTGTGTGTTTCAGGTAAGGTCAATACTAAAATCCTTCCGCTGGGCACCTTTCATTCCAGTAGCAACAGATAGTTCTATGTTGAGCGTTATGCTACTACTTTCAAAATATAGGCTGAGGAACGTACCTGTAATAGAACCAGGCCAACCCAATATTACGAACTACATTACTCAATCGGGACTTGTTCAGGGTCTTGAGAGATGCAAAGGAAGGGACTGGTTTGACTGCATTGCTGCGAAGCCTATCTCTGATTTCGGACTTCCTTTTATGTCATCTGATGAGGTAAGGTTGCCTGGTCACCAAAACATTCATCTCGCTGGCTAGGGAATTTGGAGTCTGAATATTATTGTTCCTTTGCTTTCTTCGCAAGGTTATTAGCATTGGGAGCAATGATCTAATACTGGAAGCTTTCAAGAAGATGAGAGATAACCAAATAGGTGGTCTTCCAGTAGTAGAGGGGCCAAAGAGAAAGATCGTTGGTAATGTCAGCATGAGAGATATCAGATACTTGCTGCTCAAACCCGATCTCTTCTCCAATTTCAGGTATTCAAAGACAAACTTTGAACCATTTAGCCCGCCCATCCTTTGCAGAAATTACATTGTGCACTTGGTCCACACTATGGACTGTAGAGTGCTTTAATCCTCTCAACTTCACGGACCAAACATTCACCATTGGATGCTCTGCCATTTATTTTGATAGTGAGAAAGGATCTAAAATACCTACGAATGAAATTGAACTCATGTAGTTGTGAATTTGAACTAATCTGCTTACACTGATTTCTATTATAAATAAAACCATGGCTTTGATTCCTCAACAGAGGCAATCACCTGCTCCTTTTCTATATAGACATCTTGCAAGTCAGTCTTGATGGACTAATTAATCCGTGTGCCTCTTTCTTTCAGGAAGCTCACTGTTAGGGACTTCGTGAGCACCATCACAACAACCCACGAAATTGGAAAAGTCATCCAACCAATTACATGCAAGCTGGAGTCGACACTTGGTAATGTGATTCACAGTCTTGCTTCCAAGTCCGTTCATAGGATCCATGTGGTTGCTGGGGAGGAAGGGGAAGTTGTTGGTGTCATTACACTCAGAGATGTGATCTCTTGCTTTATTTTTGAACCACCAAACCACTTTGATGACTACATGGGGTCTGCAGTGAAGGAGATGTTGAACCAGTGAGCCTTCTGTTTGTGGAAAACTTATATGGAGATGCAGAGACAGTATCAAAATTTTCGTTTGGGACCATAAAACAGTTGACATTGAGTTGCAGTTGTTTTGTTTCGTGTATCTACTTTTGATGCATTCTTAATAAACTAAAGCCAGGGAGCTTTCTCAGTGTTTTATCATTCATCAATCCTCTAATATTTTCTGCATCCTCCCACCTGCCAAGTGCAGCATATATCTTCGACAGAATCACGAAAGGTGTTGGGTTCTCTGGTTCTAATTCTGAAAGTTTTATAGCCATTTCTTTCCCCAGTTGTGAATCTAAATGAGATTCACAAGCACCTAGCAAAGATGCAAAAACTGCTCCAGAAGGCTCTGACAATTCTTGTATCAACTCTCGGGCTTCATCCAACCTGCCAGTTCGACCCAAAAGATCAATCATGCAACCAAAATGAGCTGGATTTGGTTTTAGACCAAAATCTCTGTTCATCATCCTAAAAACTTGCCATCCTTTGTCCACTAAACCAGTGTGACTGCACATAGATAGAAGACTGGTGAAAGTTGCTGCATTAGGTTGTACTTTTGCTTCCAACATCTGGTCAAAGATCCCAAATGCAGATTCATTATCTCCATTCCTTCCATACCCAGATATGATTGCGTTCCAAAATGCAGGATCATTAGGTTTTATCTGAAACCAATCAAAAATTCTCCTTGCCCAAGAAGACTGCCCACATTTCATGTACATGTCAATAAGAGCAGTGGAAATGAACAGATCATTGCTAATAGAGGTTCTAATTGCAAGCCCATGGACCTCTTTTCCACATTGCAGAGCAGATAAATCTGCACACGCTGGTAGAAGACTTGTGATAGATTTTAAACTTGGGACGACACCAGCTGATTGCATTCTCCTAAAATACACAAAAGCTTCAATCGCCTTCCCTAGTTGTGAAAACCCACTGATCATGGAATTCCAAGTAACCGAATCCGGTTTAAATCCTTCAGATTCCAACTGTTCAAATAGCTCAACAGCATTCTCATTCTGCGCATTCAACATCATTCCAGAAATCATGGCGTTCCATGTAAATAAATTCCTGTTTTCATTTAGTTCTTTGAAAGTACCATATGCCAGCTGCCAACAACCACACTTAGAATACATGTCCACAAGTGCTGTTCCAAGCATAGTATCAAGCTCCACTTCAATTTTCATCATCAACCCGTGAACCTGCTTGCCAAATCGGAGATACAAAAGACTAGCACAGGCAGAAAGAACAGACAGCAACGTAACTGAATTGGGATTTTCACCTGTACATGCTCTCATTTTCTTAAAAATATCCAACACCACATGAGGAACCCCATTCTGCAAAAGCCCTGAAATAAAAGCATTATAGCTCACTATATTCTTGATGGGCATTTCTTCAAACACCTTTGCAGCCGAAAACAACCCTCCGCAGTTCGAATACATAGTCAGAACCGAGGTTGCAACATAAACATCACTCTCAACACCCAGCTTTACCGCCAAGCAGTGCATTTCCATGCCATGCTCTACATTTCCACATGCAGATAACATACTAGCTATAGTAACTGAATTGGGCCTGAACCCTCCAGGCCCTACGTTCGTAAATAACCGCAAAGCCTCTCTACAGTACCCATTTTGCAGAAACCCTGTAATCACCGCATTCAACGAAGCGAAGTTCCGTTCAGGCATTTCTTCGAACACCTTCACTGCGTCGTCGATAAGATGAAGCTTCATGTACGCACCGGTGAGAGCCGTGGCTGAATAAACATCAGCCGAAAACCCGGTTTTCATAAGATGGGTATGCAGAATTTGGGCCTGTAGGGCCGATTGAAGCTTGCCACAGGCTTTTAGAAGAGGAGGGAATGTGAATTTGTGAGGACGCAAAGAAGCAGAGTGGAGCTGAGCGTATAAGCAGAGGGCATCTCTGTATAACCCATCCGCGACAAGTCGAGCTAGTTCGCGCTTCATGGGTTGGTTGGTTTTCAAAAATGGCTCGCATCACCAAATGCAAATTCGGTTAACTTCTCTGCTGCCATTTCTTCCTCTCTCTTTTTTCTTTTCTTTTTCTTTTCTTTTTCGTTTAGAAATTGGATTTGGAATGGGTTGGGCTATGATCAAGTAAACATACAAATGGGCTTTTGAGTTTGGCCCAATCCCCAGCAAGATTTGTTGGCTCAGCCGACAAGCATAGTATAGCATGTGGTGTGGGGATATAGAGAATCAAAGATTGATATCTACTTTCCGGATACTTTTGTCAATTGGGCATATTCAGTTTATAAAAATGTTAAAACAGCCATGATGATAATTGAACGGTTGTATATTCGAACTTTTTTTTTTTTTTTTTATTTATCAAAGTGAGATAACTTCATTGAAACAACAATGTATTCGAACTTCAATGCAAGAGGTTATATTCATTATTTTGATTAATTGGCCTAATTCATATATGCTAATTAATTGTTTTGATCTATTCTAACATAGCATATTATAAAATGAAAAAAAATCCTTAGAAAGCTTATTTGGAGAGAAAAATCCAAATAGCCACTTATCATTTTCTAAAAACCAATTAAAAAATGACAAGTGATTAGTTCTGAATTTTTCTCTATAAATAAGTTCTACATGGATCTTTATATAATATATTATATTAAAATGAGCTTATTTCATAAACGTGTCATGTTTACGTATTTAATATGAGCCCAAAAAAAAAAAAATTGTATATTCTGCAATGTAGATGTTAGTGCAAGAATCTTTTCTTTGTAAAAAGCCATCCACTATTTTCTTATCGTTTTATGACAGAAGCATTTCCCTCTGCTGTCTCCCTTGAAATCGATCACAACTTGGCGAGGAATCAACATCAAGCAGATTCGCTAATTTATTCGTTACATATCATATCACATACCATAGTACCAGTCTAGTAATAATTATAAGTGTTGACCAAGTAGTTAAGTTGCTTTTAATTAAGTTCCAACTATCAATTATTTTTTGGGTTTAAAAAATAATATTTACGCAAGTTAACCAATGATTGAATTTGGATTTGTGATTACCACATTTGACTTTTATAAAGTGACTTGTTGGTCCTATTTGATGGAAATTAAGAAATAATCTGTGCATGTATATAATCTATTTTGGATTTCTGATTACCACATTTGACTTCTTTTTGAAATTATCATTATTACGGTGGGTGCATCATTTTCATACATTTATTTATTTTGCCAATTCACTTTCGGCAACAATTTTCCAAATGTAGTCAATTTCTCAATGATAACGACTTGGAAAATTACTTTTACGGAAAATCGAAGTTCATATTCTTTGAGACTTTGATCATGATTGAATCATATATGATTCTGTAGCTTCTCACAGTGATAATGAAACAATGTTAATGTTAAGAGTATCATGACATGTATCATAGATGTAAGTTTTGCATTAATAATTTAAATATACTCACATTCTAATATAGTATATGACATTCAATTTATAAATTAGGGCCCAATTGATCGCATCGGAGTATGATAAATTTTTCTCTTTTTTTTTCTTCAATAAAAGAAATACAATATAGTGCATGAAAAATGTAGTAACACATCATTTTATACAATACAAAATTTCACCTTGATTTATTTTACTAATTGAGCTTAGGTTGATTTGAGCCAGAGTTGATCTTTCAAGCAGCCAAAGTTCCAACAACAAATGCAAAAATAGAAGCAAAATGAATATTTCTTACTAATTTGATAAATTAGTATGAGAATGTGAATTGCATAAATTTTTATTTAATTGCGTGATGAGATTTATAGTATGTAGTATAATAAAAGGTAAAGTACCGGTTTATTTTCTAAACAATCAAGAATGTTTGAAGTTACCTTCCGATTATTATTTTAGTCAATTTAGGACTTAAACTATTTAAAGTTAGTCAGTTTAGGACTTTAGAAATTCGTCCAATTTGCCTCCAATTATAAAGTCAAATATGTCATTTTTTATTACGATGCAGAAAGAAGCGTTAAAGATAGGGGTTATTCTCCCGCTCAGAGAAGGGGTAGCTAAGACAAGTGAACATCGGAGATGGCAAATATGGGTGTTCAGTGGAGGGGGAGCGTTAAAGGGTATAGCGAAATAAACACAGAGAATGAGAGAGGGTATGTTATTAGGGCAGAACTGAGGTGGGAAGATAGACGGAGAGTGTAATTAATTAGATGAAATAAGCTAAAATTAGCGTAATAGTTCACGGGGCAAGACGAGACTTTATTTTATAGTAAATAATGTATGACACGCATAATACAAGCCGAATACTAGACATGAAATTGATATGGTGATGATGTGTGGCATCCTCATTGGCATGCTGGCAAAGAGCAGAAGACAGGCCAGTACAGTAGGAGAGATAAAGAAAGAGCGCTGACTGGAGAGACTTCCAATAGCAATTTTTTTTTTTTCCCTGTGCCTAAATATAAATCAAATCATTCCAACTTAAATAACTTTTAACCTAAAAATAATCTCTCCATCTCTCTCTCTCTACCCCTCTCCTTTTCTCTCCTTCTTTCTTGATCTCCCGTCACCCTGAAAATCCATCTCTGACACCGTTTCTCTATCTTTATATATCTATCTGTTTGTTTCGCGGCAATTCCTGAGCTGCCAAGTTTTCCCTTTTGATTCCCGCGATTCTGGACATCTGTCTCTGAGAACCAAATTCTCTCGCCGTCAGCCAACAGGTGTTTTTCATTTTTAGCTTAATTTTTCCCTCTATTATATTACGCATATTTTAATTGAATTGTGCTCCGATTTGTGGTCTGTATGGAAACTGATTTCGAAGAAGATCTAGTTTCTTAATTGCAATACAAGAAAATGAACCCTAACTTTTGTTTTGTTTTGTTTTTTCAAATTGTACATCATATTAGCTTCTTCCGATTTGCATATTAGGATTGGATCTCGGGTTTTGATATGAACTTGTGTTTTTTTCGTTTTTCTTTTTTTGTAGCTTGAACTTGTAGCAACCAGTTTGACTATAGTTTTGGGGTCTAATACTGTAACTTTTGGATCCAGTTACTCTTGAATTCAGTCTACCATAGAATATGTGTTTTTAAGGAGTTAATTGAATGGTTTAGTTAGGCTCAGTGCATGTGTTCAAGGTATCTTGGAAATGGCACGATTTGGGCTTTGAGGTCCATAAGTGCAGTTATTTTTGCTCTAATATCGGTTTAGATTGTAGAGGTTACACGAGCTTTTCAGAATCAAGTCTGTGAATCTTTGTTCATTTATAGGTTTAATCTTTAGTTAACTTTTGGTGAATCTCAATTATGTTGCTTGGATGCCTATACATGCTGCTTTGTTGGTAGTGGTACTTCCTGGACCTCTGTGTTGATGAAAGTTATCAATTTCATTTTTCTTTAAACGGTGCCTGCATGTTTTCGTTTGTTCACAAATGTATTTGACTATCACTAGGTTTTATTTTTTGGTTGGCCTAATATATAGGCGGTGAGGATGTCGACTCCTGCAAGGAAGAGACTGATGAGGGATTTCAAGAGGTTGCAACAGGATCCCCCTGCCGGTATAAGTGGTGCTCCTCAAGACAATAATATTATGCTTTGGAATGCTGTTATATTTGGGTATGTCTCGGAAGGAGATTATACTTTGTTGCCTATCTCAGTTTTTCTTCATTTTGATGGTTTTTTCTTGAAATCCCGTACAATTTTATTTATGTACTTCATTGTTTGAATTGCAGGCCTGATGACACCCCATGGGATGGAGGTAAAAACTAAGAACCTCATATCATATTGCAATTGAATTTTTCTTCTTTCACATCTAATTTTAAGCTATATCTTGTATGATATTTTTGTGTTTTCCAGGTACGTTTAAGTTGACACTTCAATTCACAGAGGATTATCCAAATAAGCCACCAACAGTGCGTTTTGTTTCTCGGATGTTTCATCCAAATAGTAAGTTTGAAACAGAAACTGCACACACACATGTATGCACATATTACGTTTGTACATGTATTGGTACATATGTGTGCACATACGAACAGAAACATGTGTATGTTCATTGAGTATTGAATCATTTTACATCCATTTACTTAGCCAAACTAGCTTCTAATGGGTGAAAAAGGAGCTGAGCAAGGGATATATTTGGTATTTGTTTTTAAGCTCCCAAGCATTTGTTAATTGAGTATTGAATCACAAATCATCTTCACTTTCACAACTTGTTGCTGGCCTTTATAGCTTGTTGCTTTGGCTGTGTCATTTAATGTTTATATTTGTTAATATATTTTAAGAAATTAACTGGAATGCAATTACTTGGAAATATTTCAGATGTTTCAAGTTTTCAGTTCTGCCTTTTTTGTGTGTGTCCCTTTTCAGTTTATGCGGATGGAAGCATTTGCTTGGACATCCTACAGAATCAGTGGAGTCCTATCTATGATGTAGCAGCTATACTTACCTCCATCCAGGTATTTGGTTATATTCTATTCGTTGCTTGGTGATTTCGAGTGCTTTAATTAATCATGACTCTTGTTAAGTGTGTCATGGGATAAGCTTGTAATTGGTTAAGACACCATGCACTGGCGGATCCAGTAATTTTCCTTCTTAGGGGCAAGAATTTGTAAAATTTGGCTTAGCATGAAGTGGCTAATGGAGCCTATCAATAACCTGTAAACTCTTACCTAATGCCGCTCAAGTCTTAGCCATTCCTTTGCCCCCTTGTACTGCCTTAGCTTCTTTGAGGCATTTTATCAAACAGTTTGCCCCCATTTGACAAAAAATATTATGAGAATTTGACACTTTCATAGGTGTACAACAAGGCTGAGTGGGGGCTAGTGCCTTCACTGGCTCCTTACTAGATCCACCACTGACACCATGTATGAAATCATATTTCACTATCTTTGAGTCACACAATTGTGGTCTTTGAAATTCTGACTGTCCCATCTTGTCATTCCAATATATAAGTAAACTCTGTAGCTTCTATTTGAGCACTACTGGAGCAAGGCATCATTGATTGTACTAATTTCTATTCCTCCTCAGAAAATATTCCGTGTTATCTGTTTTCTATCAACCATCTTACCAATGCATTCAACTGCACCTTCAGGCCTAATTATGTCTATTACTTCTTTTCACAAAGTTTGCATACATATCCCTATCTGCTGCATCTCTCATTCCAAAGAGAGAATCCTAAAAACTTGTAGATAATAAAAAATTTCTTATTTCGCCTCTCTTTGACTCATGGTTGAGGCCTGGCCAAAAAATTACTCTTGGTTACCACTTCATGTTGCATAGACTTAGTAACCATCTAACCACACTTCCATTTTCCATTGTATGGCATATGTATATGCATGGATATTGTTTTAACACAAAACTTTTTAGCTACTCTCTCTCTCTCTCTCTCTCTCACACACACACACGCAAACATTTGTGCATGCATGCTTGTGGATAAATGACATTTGATCAATTTTAAATAAATCAAATATAAGATTATGGAGGAAGTTCACTTTTTTAAGTGTCCGTTGTTTGAGATGTTAAGTCATAATATTTTCTTATTGCAGTCATTGCTCTGTGACCCAAACCCAAACTCTCCAGCAAATTCAGAAGCTGCACGGATGTTTAGCGAGAACAAGCGTGAATACAATAGGAGAGTCCGTGAGATTGTTGAGCAGAGTTGGACTGCTGATTAGCGTACTCCTGATGGAGATCTTTGGAAAATCAGTTGAACACCCTGTTTAAATTACTTTGAAACTTGAAAACCATTGTGATGTGAAGAACTTGACTTCTGGTCTTGTGAAATGTTTGCTCGGGCTTTAATTCAGTGGCACTAGGCCTCGTATATCTATATGTTGGACCACTTGCCTTGGAGTTTTCTTCTACCTGATGCATTTAATTTTGCTTTAAGCTATTCGAGCCTGTGGTTGGAGAAATTCTTGTATGCAACTGTTGTGTACAATTACCCTCTCACAATATCTGGATACGTTACCATCATGCGGGGGGTGGTCTCAATTGTATGCAAGATTTTTTCATGCGGCTGAGCAAAAACATGATTATTACTCGCTCTGGAAACTTGAACCAAAATATTAATCATGTATTTGAGTTTTAAAGTTGACGGCAAAGATGCATATGGCATGTTTGATTTGTCACCGTTTGAACATGAAAAGAACTCTAGCTGGATTGTAATAATTTTGTGTTGATGAAAGAGTTAGTAAGAATTCATTGGACCAAAGAATGGTGAAAACTTGAGACGTGCTAAAAACTGTTTAAGGTAAAACAGTAAACACGAGCTGTATTTGCATTTTATTCATATAGACACTGTGCCTAACAAGGAAGAGAGTTGAATTACATGCACTTAAAATGAAAGCGTGTTGTGTTGCTACTACATCTGAGCGCTGAGGTTGCCGCTGCTGGTCCATCCCTCTTGAACTTGAATTGAATACTGCAAGTTCCAGAGAACGTTATCTATGGAAGGACGCTTGCTTGGATCTCTGCTCAGACAATTGATGGTGATTTCGACGGCGGTCTTCAATGACTGATACGCGAAACTTCCCTGCATCGACGGATCTATGACTCCTCTTAGTTTTGATGGTCCTTCTATTAAGCCTTTTTCTAACTGTTCATTGAAAGATGCAAAGAATGCCATTGAATTAGGTGTTGCAAGAACCCAAAAGAGCAAAAACAATAAAATGGGGTTTTTTTGTTTTTAGTTTTTATATATGGTTTACCTGAATCTTTAGCTCATCCAATTCACTAGCTGATTTGATCAATCTACCAGTAAGAACTTGAACTAGAATAATCCCCAGCTGATAAATATCTTCCTTCTCAGCTTCGGCACTGCGTATTTACGGCTCGTTAAGATAAATTTGGATGCTGCAGTAGAAAAGGAGAGGAACAAGAAGAGAAAAGTAATACCTGTTTAGATGAGGTTTACTGCTGCTAATACCCTGTCCATTAAGAGGGCTCTCTGAACCAATCTGGAAATTAGAAAATGCAATCGTTAGCGGCTACAAAAGTTTCCTTTCAAATTTGACAAGCATATATATACTGTAACATATTCTCACCTGAAATGGCAATGGAAGATTATAGTTACTGATTTTAGCAGAAACACTCTCATCCAACAATATGTTCTCTATCTTCAAATTATTTCCAAAGATGCCAGGTGCAACCCCTGTGTGCAAGAACTGGACCCCCCTTGCAATGCCAATGGAAACAGCCATTCTCTGTGGCCATTTCAGCCACTCCTTCTTTCTCCAATCTGCCAAACCAAAGTGTATTAGAATTGCTTTTAGTATTTTAATTAACTCTTTTCTTGATGATCTGATAATTGCTTTTAGTTTGAGCTTTACCAGTGAGATGGTCCACCAAAGAACCATTTGCGATGTTCTCAAGAACAATAAATACAGTGCTAGCTGCAGTTGGATGGTCCTGATAAGTGACAGTGCAGTGTCCAAGAAGGCTGACCAAATGCCTATGCCTCAGCTTTGACAAGGCTTCCATGCTCTGGTTCAAGTTTTGGGGCAACTGCTTCTGCTTTAATTTCACACATTTCACTTGTACCAGTAAACCATCTCTGAGCCAGCCTTTGTAGACCTGTAATGTAAATATTGCACATAAATAATGCCATCAAGTTGATGAACAATAATGTTGGCTCCATCAAATAATGCATCCAAAGCCAACAAACAGCACAAATTCAATGTTAAAACCTGTCCCTGAGATCCTTCTCCCATCAAATTCGCGGCATCGAAATTGTCTGTTGCATCATCAATTTCTTCCAATGTAAAGACACGATATGGTGGGAGCCCAAGTGTTGGTAACCTCATCATCTGGGGCACACGCCCTGGAAAATCCAAATCAATATTAATCAGCTTCAATGCTTCATGAACTAAAAACCATAAAGCATGCATCTTTGTTTTGTGTTTTTTTTTTTTTCAGTCATTAAAGTCAGAGACTTTCAAAGGAATTAAGGAAACAAAGAGGGCCTTACTTGCATCGATGTTCGGCTTTGGGGTGCTTCGAACAGAAATTTTCTCAACCATGGATCTGTCAAATTTATCTTCTCTGTTCCTCTTCCCTGCCCTTTTGATAATGACCAAAATCAGCAACCCAATGACTGCAGCAGCACACACAACACCACCAATGACACCAAGTAAAAGGCCTAGCTTTATTTTTGACTCCTGCTCTTGAGTTTTAGCTGGAGGCTTAACAGCCAGTGCTTCCTTGTGGCAAAATGAATATGGATGCTGATACTTTGACTTCCCACCAGACAAACAGTTCCATGAATCAAGAACAGTTCTGTTCAAAGACTTTGATCCAATGCAAGATGGTAGTTTCCCTATCAAAAGGTTTTGAGAAATATCAACAACTTGGAGCTTCCCATTGCAGGTTGCATTGTTTGAGAGAGCACCACTTAGTTGGTTTTGAGCCAGAATGAGGTACTGAATTGAAGGCAGAGAGAACACGAAAGCAGGGATTGGCCCCACAAATTTGTTGGAAGAGATGTCTAATTTCTGAAGCAGACCAAAGTTCCTCAATGTTGGAGGAATCTCAGATCTCATGGAATTGTTTCTTAGAATGATACTTACAAGACTATTTCCCAATGAAGGAAATCCAGGTCCTAGGTGGTTGTTACCCAAATTGAGTTCTTCAAGAGCAGCTAAGCTTTTAAGATCTGGCACACTCCCATTGAACAAATTGTCAGCCAAAACTATGCTTCTAAGATTCTTCATTGAACTGAGGGATGTAGGAATCTCCCCATAAATGAAATTTGAGCTAATGTTGAGCTCCTCAAGTGACCAGAACCTGTTGATCTTGGCTGGCAATGGACCCCACAAACCCAGTGACACCAAGGAAAGCACTTTCAAGTTGGAAAGCTTTGTGAGAAGTGTGAAGAAAGAATCAATGGAAAAGCTTTTGGACAGGGTCTGCTGAGAAATCACAAAATTCCCTGAAACTGGTTTTGGGCTGTGAGAAGGGGAGCTTTTGTTTCCAATGACAGTTAATTCTGTTACACGATTATTTGTACAGACAACCTTGAGAGAAGGTGTGGGAGGGAGGTAACAGAAGTTGGTCCAATTTGTCCATCCTTGAAGAGCTCCAGGGTATTCAAGAAGCTTCTGAACTTGGAAAAGAATTCGGCTCTCACTTGGAGTTAACTGAGCAATCGAAATTGGAGTGAAAATGGCTAGAATGAGAAACAACAAACAGAAAGAAACCAAGAAATTCTTCATTATTCAGAAAGCTAAATGCACATGAAAGAAAGGTTGGAGTCATACAAATGAGATTAAGAAATTCAAAAACAGAGAACGCAGAACTGCAACCACAATTCTATCTATATAAAGTTGATAGAAAAAGCAGAATTTAAGTTCTGGGTTTTGTTTAGAACAGCAAAAGCTTTAAGAAATGAATAGAATAAGAAGGTAGCAGGTATGGAGGATCAAGATCTTGGGTTGGTGTACAAAGATAACAAGAAAAGATTTTACCGAGAAAGCAAGAGAGAAAAATTCTTGTGGGTGATGAAAGCAAAAGCACTCAAATTTCAACAAAAGGAAGAGAACCAATTATTGTGCAGAGAATGAAGGATCTGAAAAGACTGAAATTTCAGAATTTTAAGTGAAGCAAGCTGAAGCAGGAGACAGTGCAAGTGAGAGTCAGTCAAGTTCAAAGTAGAAAGGGACAATGCAAGCCAGCCAACCCAAACCAGCCCATCCTGATCCTGCGCTACGCAAACCATTATTTTAAGCTGCAAACTAGTTTATCTTTCTCAAAGTTTCAAACTTTCTACTGCCCCTTGTTTTGTTTGGCCTCAAGTCAACTTGGGCTCTGATTCATTTGCGAGAACCTCGATGTTGACCACGTTTATTATGGTAAACTTGCGAGTAGTATCTCAAAACTTACGCTCCATAGGCACGTGCGGTTCGTGATGGCCAGCCTCCTTGTATTTATTTGAGCTCATGATGAAATCACGAGATATTCTTGTTCACGTAAAATTGTTCATCATCATCATCGAAGTTACGAGGTAAAATAGTCCATTGTTACGTTAAATTCAAATTCTTTTGGTCGAATCTTGTAGCGTGAACACATGCCGAGCATTAAAGTGGTTGTTTTGTGATGAAACCTACATTAAGTCGGCAAGAGTCTAATCTCTTTACCGCTATTTAGTATGTGAGGTCCCCTATGCCTTCGGGTTATAGTAGTAAGGGGCATCCCATCCCACCACCGACTATGAGTGATCCTTTTCAAGTGAGAGAGTTCAACTTTTGTTATTTTCTGAATGAAGAAGACAAAAGACCGCCCTCAAGTAATTTTTTGTAGCGGCAATTAATTGACAAATTGTTTCAAATAACTGCTAAAAAATATCTGTTGATTAATGTACAGTTGAATACCTCTGCGTCAATGTCAATCGAAAATATGAGTCATCCAGATAAAAAGTGGAGTGACAAATATGTATATGTCGTTTTGTGTTGATGAAGTTGTGTCGGTCTACGAATAAGATTAAAGGAAAAAAGAAAAAAAGAAAAAAAGAAAAAGAAAAAGGGGAGAGAATTGGATACTTTGATTAAGACATATAATAGGTGTTAGCTCAACCTAATCCTTTTTTTTTGGGTTTATAAAATTAGATTAACTCACTGGGATGCGGGTGGTGCTCCTTCCAGCCAGCCTGACACTTGTTTTTATCTATCTGTGTGTTACGTGTTTTGTTCTTTCTCATGGAAACAAGCTTTGTTTGCAATTTGCAAAACGACGACTTGTTAGCATCTTCAAATATGTACATACAAGAAAAAGAAAAAGAAAAAGAAAGCCTTGAATTCAATGAAGCATCAATGAATATTTATGTGTTAATGTTTTATACAACTTGGTGTTACAATATTTTCATATTTCTTTTTCTTTTTTTGGTGAAAGATTCCATTAAAGTAAAAGATTCTGGATTGTTGTGGTTCAAGGTTTAGTGTGCATGCGTTGCCAAACAAAGAAAGTTGCATGAGGAATTAAAAATACTTATCCTCCGTGAACCCAAATATGCAATTATTGGAATTAGCTTCAACTTATGCTCGTTTTCCAACTTATTGTCCACTTAAATGCAACAACTATTCCTTCAATCATTCATATATGAGAGAGACCTTTGTCTTCAATTTCTTGTAGTGATGTGATTATCAAATAATGTGGGAGAAAATAAATTTGGATTTAGGAGCAACCCGATTCATTACAAGATTGGATTTAGGTGTAACCAAATGCAAGTTCGGATGTTCGTTAACTCAATGCAGGTTTGAATGTGCATTAACTCAATGCGGATTTGGATGTTCGTTAACTCAATGCGGGTTTGAATGTGCATTAACTCAATGCGGGTTCAGATGTGTAATAACCCAATGCGAGTTTTGATGTGCACCACCCAACATGGGTTTTGATGTGCGTCACTCAACGTGGGTTCACGTGTGCACTACCCCATATGGGCTCATACACGAACAACCCAACTTGGATTCATAGGTATATTCAAACATTCATACCTCCATATCCGCATGAATTGCGGGACAAGACAAATATGGTTAAGGGTTGATTCTGCACGACTCTCAATGATCTGAAAATGGCGAAAGTGGGCATATGACGTGCAAAGTGGAGCTTGCATCGCAAGGCTGTCACCAAGTATAAATGTGAAGTTTCAGAGCCAAATGAAGGTATGCGATTTCAAGTTAAGTAGTGCACTCAAATACATAAAAATTGACTTGAGTGTCGAAGTACCTTTTGTAGGTACCCCACCCTCTCTCATTTGATTTCGAAGGAGCGTCGCTTGGAGATTTACTTATCTTGAGTGCGGAGTAAAACCGAAAACTCGTGGAAGATATTCTTATTATAAGAATTTTTGCTCCAACAAATAATATTATGTTTCTATTAATAGGAAGAAAAAATCGAACACTAAATGCATAATGAATATTCCTTTACTATTTGAATTACAAAAGCGACCAAATAATATTCTTAACTAATTGCAAAACTAATCACATCACGAGTCATTGTATAATGAGGGCCTTATAAGGCTCTTAGATGAGGTCCTAACCAATTTGATCCAATGGTTAAGAGATAGGAACTCAGATAAAGCCCTTACGATAGAATTCTACATCACAGTAAAGTAAACCTACCTAAAATTGGAGTCATTTTATAGTGAGAGCCTTATATATGGCTCCTAGGTGAGGTCCTATCTCTTAAATGTTGGATCAAGCTAACTAATTTAATCTAATAACTAATCAATTTGATCTAATGATTAAGAAATAGGGCCTTATGTAAGAACCATATATAAGGCACTCACTATAGAATTCTTGCCTAGAATTGGGCTCTGGTATTGGGCTAGTGGTTTGTTTGGTTTTGGGTCAACTCAAATTTGGCCTCCCTACGAAGAAATAAAGTGAACCCACCTAAACGTCGTCGTTGTGTTCCCTCTAGTTTCGTGGATATCTTTCCATTTCCGCGTCAGATTTGCAAACTGTCCAATTTAGCAAAAATTTCAGGTGATTTCAACAGCGAAAGCAGAGCTCAGCTCACAGTCGTTAGTAGAGCAGAGCAGAGAGCCAAATGACTCTGTGACTGAAGCACAATACTCATAGACCCTCTTCTTCTTCTTCTTCTTCTTCGTCTCCTTCTTCGTTTCCTGGTACTTCTTATTTTCGTTTCTCATTTTTCTTTGTTCGGTAGTGGTGGGAGGCTTTAGGGTTTCCAAGTACTGCATTTTTGGGGAATGCTTAGATCGAATGGATTTGGTATTTCATTTGCTTTAAATTTTCTTTTCCCTCTTCATATTTGTTTTTCAAATCATACCATCTTTTCCGTTTATTGCATTTTGTGTTTTCTTCCAGTATTTTTATGTTTAACGTTATTTCAGTATATTTGTATATGTTTTTGTTCAAAACTTGTTTTTTCTATTTCAAGTTGAGGGTTTATATTTTAGCTAGAAAAGCTTTCAATTTTGCGCCCTTGTGGTATATTCATTATTCATATTTATTGTAAAATTTCAGTTTAGCTTAACTAGTTGAAGATACCATGTTGTTTAGGACCCAAATTTTTGTTCCTAAATGGATGTTGCGTTTTAGCTTTTTATTCATCTTAAGAAGATCAATTGATCATTAGCTACTATCATGGCTCAACTTGTGTATATACATGCAGGTTTCTACGAATTAAGTTTTGCCGGCTGTCTTTGACTTTTCGCAATGGGAAAAACACCCGGAAAATGGATCAAGAATTTGCTTCTTGGGAAGAAATCATCCAAGTATAGTTTGTCCAAAGGAAGAGAGGTATTGCTAAGCTGCACATTGCTTTGCAAATCAATTAGTATTCTGATTAAACAGCACTAAGTTGAAAAGGATACAAAGTTGTAATTTCATGTCGAGTAAACCTAGGAAAAAAGGAAAGCCTGTCAATTGAAATTGTTCTATATGAGCCTGATGAGAGCAGAGCAGACCCGAAATTTATGTCATTGTGGTCTATACCATGGCTGGTTGTTAAAGTAATTTATTGATTGCGCTTGTTTTTTTCCCTCAATAATTTGGTGAATGGATAACAAACTCTTGAGAGTGACCGTTTGAGTTAGTATGTTATGTCTATTTTCTTTGGCAAGTGAATTGTCATGTTATATCTTGATATTAAGCAAAAACATAAAGAATGTTGACCCTGGAAGTTCAAATTTCATATTACACTATAGTTTTAAATTTCAACTCTTAAATAATTATGTAGTTTGTTATTTGTATAGTTGTTGCTGGTCTTTAAGTTCTAATTTGCAAATCTGATTATTGTGCACAGAAATCCACAAATAAAGGGAAGGAAATTGTCTCTTCAAAGTTATCTGTGTCCGAGTTAACTGTGAGTGCTCCCCTAATATCACCACCATTAGTTTCACCACCAGTGGTTGGGACTGGTGCTAGCAATGCAGTAGACTCAGAGATCGGTGTAGCTGCCAAATTGCCAAATGATGGGATTATTCTTTCGTCTGTGAAGCAAGATGGCCAAACACAAGCTATCTTTAGTTCGACTTCTCAGGAAGATCATGAAATAATCAAGCAAGAGCAAGCCGCCACAAAGGCACAAAGTGCTTATAGGGGTTATGTGGTACTTTCCTCCCATAGATGTTCTGCTTTTGCTTGACAATTATTATCATTATTATTATTTTTTTCACATTTTCTGTTGTACTTCTGTGAGATGATTTAAGTAACTGATGAATTTATTTTTGGCAACCTTCCAACCACTAATGCTTTCTATTATCTTTGAAGGCTCGCCGTGCATATCGAACCCTTAAGGGCATCATAAGGCTGCAAGCACTTATTCGTGGTCACTTGGTTAGAAGACAAGCTGTATCCACATTATTCTGTGTCCAGGGGATTGTCAAGTTGCAGGCTCTGATTCGTGGTCAACTTGCTAGACATTCTGATATTGGGGTTGAAATGAATAAAACTCATCTGGTAATTTCTGGTTACTTTTCAATTGGCTCATGCATTGACTGGAGCTTAGTGATTCATGCTTTTTGACCAGAGCAAAAGCCTGCCCTTGTGTTCTTTTATTCATAGTTTTTTGTTGAAATGAATATGCCAATATGATTTTTGTAATGTGTGAATCAGGGTGATTTATCTGAAGTAAGTGCATCTTCCCATGTGGAGAGGCTGTCAAAAATTTCTTTCGTTCAAAAGGTGAGATTACATTAGTATTGCCCAAGATACGGTTATTTTGCTTATTTGATATTCATTTCTTTGGTTCTTCATTACGGGAAATATACTGAAATTAACTTTGTTTTATAGAGTAACACAATCTATGACACAGGGATTTTCCTTCTCACTATTGTCAGCACT